ATAGGCTACTTTTTGTTGCAAAAATATAACTTGAAGGGTGAAAATTAAGGTATGAAAGTTAATATGAAGATTTCACCACAATTTTACTTATATAATGCAAATCCAGAGGGCGCTAAATAGCAATATTAGTATTTTCATTCCTTAGAAGTAAAGATAAGAACCTTATTAACAGATTCAGTAAATAATCAACCCAAAAATGAAGCAAGTAAATAATTAAACCACCTTTTAATAATATCTACACAGATGGCAAATATATTTAAAATTTAGATCTAAATATGATCAACGGTGCAAAAAATGAACTTTTGCATGTCACTACGACAAGAACAGCTCGAGCGGAAACAATTTTGTTTATTTTTTGAAGCATCCTGTTCAGCATCGAAGCAAAATAAGAAAAACAATGAATCGAAAAACCACAATATGAATGTTCCGCTAGAAAAGGCGATAATCGCATTCATAACACTAGCTGCTTCACCGTAGGCATGTTTTTCTAGCGTCGAGTCTTGCATTCGACATTATCTATCGCCCTAAATAAATAAACAATTCAAAAGCTAGGTCAAAAAAAGCCTCAGCAAACATCGCGCCTGAAATAACAAATAATGATAATAAACGCATCATACAAGTTATATGAACAGAACCCGATGACCAAACAAGAATCATTAGTTAAGACGCAATCATGATATTTATTTCAAGCGCAGTAATTATTTATTTCAAACGTAATTATCAATTTCTAGAATTCATTGTCTCAAAGTCACCTAATTGCGCATTTCCTGTTTCGTTGCGCATCTTCTCTTCATATTTATTTAAAACGCATATTAGAGCCATATAAATAGAGCGCAGACCTAGACCTAAGCGATTATTGTATCATCCAAGTTCGTTGAATAAACAAGTGAAAGTTAACAAGTTCTTCTGAATCGATCATCAAGAACCCACTTAACAAATCCTAAGAAAACCAACAAAAGTGAATCAAAGTCTAAACCCAATTCTAATCCGCGATCGCGATTCGAACCAATAAATAAATAAATTATATTTAATAACTCGTGAGTCGATAACGAAATCGTTAATATAAAACCGCTCGACACAAACGGGGAATATAATTTACATATCTGAATATACTCGTACATATTATTTGCATAGATTTCGGATTCACACAATTTCGACAAATCAAAGTTTAACGTTTAATGTTTGTATTTGTGTTTGGTTAGCGCGGTCGCGTTGTCGATTGCAAATTTGTTGCATTAAATTGCGCGTCGATAGAAAAACACTTGCTGAAACTTTTTCGTTTTGGCTCAGCTGCACCCAAGCCACACACGCATATATACACACACATACAGCGCCAGCTGAAGGCGGAAAAAGTGGGCGACAAGTACGAGCCGGCATTATCGCTGCTCTCGCCGAAGAAGCGCTTTTTTGTTTGAAGAAAAAACAACGCGTTTAAATTTGCATTTATATTGAAAGCGTGTTTCGGCAAGCTTCCATGGAAAACCTCCAAACGTATCATCTCTCCTCATTTGAACAAAAAAAAACGAGATTTCGAAACAATTGCAATAATTAAATTCTAAAATATAAGTTAAAAGATTTTTCCGGCCCCAAAAAAACATGTAAAAGAAGAAGAAAAAAATGCGTTGGTGGTAAATTCCCAGCGACATTTTAACGACCACATAAATACTGATAAATTATTTAAAAAAGGCGTTGTGTGGCCGCGAGGATAAGACGCACAAAATAAGCGACGAAAGCAATTAGGCGTGCGGCGGCGAAAATTTGTTAATTTATTTCGGCAATATTAACGAAATTTCCCTCCCGCGCACTGTAACAAAACCGCGACGCCGCCGAAGATAAAGCTAACACAATAACTTTAAACGAGCAACAATGATCCTATTACGCCCGCCTCGCGCCCGCTGACGAAGAAATGAAGAAGAAAATAACGGCGCAGTCGCTGAAAATGAAGAAGCCATGCTGCTGCTGCTGCTGCTGCCGCGCGGGGCAAAACACAAGAAGTGCACACAGAGAGAAAACAAGTTAGAAAGAAATGAGTGAGGAGAACGCCATCGTAAAACCACCTCAGGACTCAGGAAGAAGGCGGTGATTTATCGCCGGAATAATCCAGTAAATCGTTCGTTTATAAAGAAAATTTAATAACAACCGGAGCGGAGCACATCAAGCCGACAACAAAGAGATAAAAATTACACCACGTACAAATAAAAACCAACAACAAAGAGCAAAAAGTCGTTTGGAAGACATTTTACTACCAAGTCAGGTAAAATGACCGCCCCACGTCAATATATTGTGCAATAGATTGTGTAAACAAAAAGTTGTGTAGTGCAGCGTTTTAAATAGCTTTGATGGTGATGGTGATCAAACTATAAATAGAAGTTGTAGCGACCAGTCCCGAGGAAACTGTAGCCGTTGTGCGTTTTAATTGAGTTCGAGCGCTGTGCACCGGAAACGACTATTTCCGATATGTTTACAAGTACAAGAGCTACAAACTACATAACCTAATACTGTTTGAACTCAATTTTAAAGCAGAAAATGTAGAATTTCTATAAAAATAAAAGATAATTCTATTTTTATGTAACCAACTTATCTCAAGATGCATTTTATGTATATAAAACAAAATCGAGTTAGTTACACCTTTTATAACTCAAGAACGGCTGGGCAGATTTTGATGATCTATGATTTTTTGGATTCATCTCAGCCCAAATTGGGATAATAACTATTAAATTATTAAAAATTATGACGTTAAGGGTGTTAAATCGGGCAATAAAATTAATATAGAGATTCAATCATAGTTATAGTTAAATAATTAAGTCCTAGATGGCGTTAAAGTGCATTATTAACATTTCTCATGTCTTTAAAAGAAACTTACGTATCTTATTGACAAAATCAACACATAACTGCATTTTTACTAAAACCTATGGAGACAAAATCGTGGGCAAAAGCAGCCATATATATAAATAAAACTTTCAAGCCGTTTTAAAACGACTTAAATTGTCTGCGTTGTAAACGAACAAGATGCAGACGATTTAGCTCCGTACAGATTGAAAAACCGAGCCACGCATGCCACTGCTTCAGATATTCATTGCACCAATTGCATCTTAAACTGCTCGTTCATCCTGACCATCGTGCGTCTCATTCTACTCATTTCATTTGCTTGTCAGTGATATGTATCATACCACACCACTAAATAATAGTGATATGTGCTGGAATTAAAGCCGAGCCGAGCCAGCAAGCGAGGAGCAAGTTGTAGGCGTTGGATTTCCAACGCGGAGTTATTTATTGACGAACTTATTCACCGCGGAGCCGGTGCGGCGACGCGAGAAGACAACCGGGACACACACGCAAGCACGGAAAATGAATTCTCAGATGAAGAGACGAGATGAGAAGGAGTAGCACGAGAACAAGTCGAGTTACAAGCTGTGAGCTGAGATGAACTGTGTGAGACTGAAACTAAAGTTGTAACGAGTTGAAGAGACAACTAATCGACTGGGAAACTATGAATATGCTTAATAACAAAAACAATCAATAAACAACTCTGCGTGATATCTATTCGACAAAGTTTGTATAAAATGTATTAAAATGTACCCAATACTAGCTGCGGGGGCAAAGTTTATATTCAGTCAGATATTAATTATTCAGTGAATCTAATTCAGCTTTGTTATTGAATAAAAGAAAAAAGAAAAATACTGAAATGGTATGTTTTATCAATAAAAATCAAATTAATAGAAGGAGATATAATGACTGTTTTCGAAAAACCGTCCTAGAATGCTCGAAAATAAATATTATTTACAATTAATAACATATTTCAACAGGAAATGATGTTTTTTCTGTTAAAAATAATATTTTAATTTAAAAAATTCAAAATTTTAAAAATTTTTGTTTTAAAACAAAAATTGAGCTCAATTAAAGAAGTGACGTCATTAATGAGTTCAGAAAATAGAAAAATATGTATTTTGTATTCCAAGCTTCAAATTTCAATGAATAAATATATACTTTAAATAATTTTCAGTCGCCATCAACCTTTTCTATTCAAATAAAAGCGATGCATTTGCTTTATTGAATAAAAAACTCGTGTAGACTTACTGCACTACTTTCTGCATGAACTGTCAATGCAATGCTGTTGATTACTTCAAATAACATAACCTGATCTGAAAAACTCTTTTCCCTTCACTAATTTTTATGAGTTTTCTTAAATAAATTAATGCTCGGAATAGAATTAATTGCAACGTCTCACGTTTCAGAATGAATGTTAAACTATACCCACATGACCCATCTCTTTGTCGACGGCATTGTTTGGCGTTGTTCCCTACCCTCATAACCTTCATATGGAACGCGTACCCTTCGTACCCTTCCTTCATTATGCTTACGCAATGGTTGTACATCGTTTCGGTGTTTGAACACTTTCTCTGATGTGCGGTCTAAGCCCACCGTACATATATGCCCTTATTTCGTTTCGCTCCATTGCAGTTCATTTCATTTAGAGCGTAAACTTTTTCCTTTCATACAATAAACGCAAGCCAAATACATACAAATATTAAATGCTTGGATGTTAATCAAATCATGACATGACATTCAATTTTGTTTTATTTGAAACAGGACGCTCGAGTAACTACCAAGGCGGTCTTTAAATTATTCAACTTGTGCACTAAATGAGAATAAAGTTTTATTTGTTTTAAAAATAGATAGCAAGGCGCGCACGCAAATAAACTAAACAAACAGCCGAGGATAAACTGCCGGCGGGTTCTAACTCGTTGTGCCTGCAGCTTAAAAGGGCCGAAAATGAATAAGGAAACACTGAACGTCCAAAAATGTCGACGTAAAGAAGGCGAAAGGAAGAAAGGGCGTAAAATGTAATCTACGACCATACCGGCACGCAATAAGAAACACCAAAGCACAAAAAACAAAACAAAACAAAAAAATAAAAAATAAAAACAACAATAGATTACCACCTACGTTATAATTTCCAAGATTTAATAAAAATATAAAAATTGATTTTCTGCACTTACCTAATTGGACGTACATCTTCGGCCTGACGTTCTCCTGCCAGGAAGCTGCGACACCATCCGCGACGAAGCCAACCGCAAAGGTCATCACCACGAATGCAGCGCAAACGTGCGCGAGCATCGTAACCGTCTTCGAAGAATTCATCATTTTAACGCGCGCACACACACAAAAACTCAAGTTGATCCACCACTAAAAAAAGACGACCGCAGCCGAAAAGACACGCGAGACACGAGCGGGATCACCACCGCTGTTGTTGGAACAGTTGCAGTTGCATGATTGTGCACACTCGGGTCACACTCGGTTATGTCACACGTTGGTCACTCCGCCACCACGCGGGGGATAATCCAAAAAAGCGGTAATCCAAAACGCGATCGATACACGCGCGTGCCGAAGAGCGACCGGGCGCAGAGATGGAGCGCGGGCGTGCGAGTCGAACGCTCGACGTAGACTGGCGGCGCGCGGCGTCGCGATGCCCGCGCCAGCTGACGATCGCTGCGTCTGCTTCCCCCACCAGCGCCGGCGGCGGCGGCGGCGTAATGATCAGCGAGGATGGACGTCAGCGCCGGCAACCTGCAACGGAGGAAAGCGAAAACATCAATAAAACATTTCGAAATTCAAAAAATCAACAAAAATTATTTTAACATAAAAAATTTATTTTAAAACCAAAATAAAAATAAAACAATTAATATATTATACATAACTTAATACCAGATTAAAATTATTATCGTAAATTAATTATTTTTAATTTAAATATTAAAAATTTATTTTTTTTTTATAAAAAATTATCCTGAATTAATATTAATAGCAATTTTAAATAATAAATTGTTTTGTGATACTTACACCCCCAAACACAGATTGAAATTGAAATAAAATATTTATTATTATTTTCCATACCGATAAGATTTATAACATTAATAAGATAAAACCAGCATTGGTAGTTTAAAGGCACTCGCATATATATATATATATATATAGGGTGGTGGCGGTTGTCGATCGAGCTATCTGCAGCCAGCACAAGATATAGATAGCGGGTTTGGCGAAGCGTGGGGCGCAAATGATTGATGACCCGCCGCCGAACGGCGCGCCAGAATTTTTGCTGATAACACAGCTTTCCTTTCTGTTCTTCAGCTGCGGAGGATTTCCGCAATGCGCGCGACACACCACACTATCACCGTGTTTAGCTTATACAGCGATTATTAACATTTAAATCCCAAAAAACTCAAAAATTAATTCGAAAACTTTTTCTGCTCAAAAGTTAATACCTAGTGTTGAAAAACATCAGCATTAAGTTTTAATTAATTGCCCAATTAAGTAATTAATTTTTGTGCCTCGTGTCTCGGGCGTATTTGCGCAGAAAACTTTTCGCTCCAGTTTTTAATACTTTGCGCCGCATGAACGGGTTTAGCGTACGAACTCTCGAACGCATAATAAATCAGTGAAATAATAATTTTAGTATTATAAAATCGCGCATGTTTACAACGCACGAAAATGTTTGTAAATGTCAGATAACATTTTTTCGGCCGAATTGTATGAATTTAATGATCTGATACGGGGTGCTATCGTGCGGGGGTGGAAAGGGAGGTCGAAATTCGGGGAAATGATGGCACGTCGCGACCGCTCGCTTTAATTCGTCATTCTGTCGCTGGCAACGAGCAACATCATTTTTTATATTTCCGCACTCCGCGCGTCTCGTTTCGCTTGGAAATTGTGTGTGATTTGTGAGCACACAGCGCGCAGCACCAAAACCACCACCATCCCCAAAAAGCAGCGGCTAACATTACTGTTCCAACGATCAACCGTCAAACCGACCGCATATCTACATTATAACACCGAATATATTTTTTGTTAAAACAAAAACAACATCCAACAAACAACAAATTTTATTTCAAGTATTGTTTATGTTTTGTTATTGAAGCGATAAAACCATCGACTTGTGCGCAGTGACCGAGATAATCTCGGTGCTACGTTTTGTTGTTTTTGTGCCTAGTGCCTGGTGATGTTTGCGATTTTTCATTTTCAGCGCTGATTTGAAGAATGAGGATGTCTCCCTTACTCCGGGGGTACTTAGCAGAATTGCGTTTGTTTGTAGCGCATTCGAGTTGTTTGTTTCGTTCGCTTTTGTTGGCGCGACGCGCAGCGTTTTCATGCGTGGAAAAGTAGAAAAATTACTGCGGTTAGTGTGCTAATGTTAACAGACAAAAAAAAAAGAAATAGACTTGGGTTATGAAGTTAAGATGGAAAGTAATTAATTGTGTAAAAATAAAAATAAAAAATAAACAATTCATGATGTTTAAACATCCATCATCATAAATATAATAAAAATTAAACTTTAATATTAAGAGAATATTCTCAGACAAGTAAAAACAGTGTTTGTGCATTTTTCACATCCTCCCCGATCTGATTTCGTATTCACACATCATATCAACTTTTTGCACCGCCCATTCACACCTATTTTTTGTTCATTTTCAAATTTTTTCCCTTAAAACTTTCTCCGTACTTGCTAGTTTCATTTTTTGCCAACTTCACATTTCGCCGATAGTTTTCCCTCGCCGCCATTTGCCTTTTCTTATTATTTTTCGATGCGGGCCCAAGGAGACAACCCTCCCCCCGACCGGCTGGCAAGGGGGTTGATGCGTGCGTGTGGAGTCGCGGGCGCCTCTTTTATGCATTCGCGACCGAAAGCGAGAAACGCGTTATGAATGACTAATGCAAACGAGGATCGCATCGAAACGGAAACTTTCCACCCACCACCACCGATCCAGAGATCCACCCCGCCGAGGGTTGTATTATGCACACTAGTAGATATCTCCAAACGTGGGAATCATAGAATCGCGGAAAGATCGAAATGATAGAAAAGGGAATGACACCACACCCTCATCCCATACACCCCCAAAAAGACTAATATGTGAAATGTTGGATGATTTACGTATTTCCATACATAAATCATGATTATCTATATATTTCTAGACACAAAACAACACAAAACAAAAAAAAAACTTCAAAAACTTTTTTCAGCGGATTAAATTGTATTGACTCAATTCACTCTCCTTTATGTGGCATGTAATTACACACTAGTTTCTCGGCCATCCTACCCTCTATCCGAGGAGAGATGCGAGAGGCGAAATAAACTTTTTCCTCGTTCCTGCCTGCCCGACCACACGACATCCCCGACCGCAGCGGTCGCCATGTGTCCCGCGTTAGACAAAAGAAGCGCGAGCGACGGTATGGGGAACAAAGGGACGCGCGCGCGCGCCGGAATGAGGGAATAAGTTAACTGTGAAGGACATAAAACGACACATAATAAAACGCGCTCAATTGCACCGAGAAACACGAGCGACCACGCGGCACACGCGCTCGACCGCCACTTGATACTCTGGCTTAATGTCATACGCACACAAACACACAAAAAATAAATACAAAGGGTTTCTTATTGGTAGAAACACAAAAATGTAAGAAAAACAATAAAAAAAAAAATTTGATTGTGTAAACACTCTGTATAGCAAGTACTTGTAGTCAACTTGCACTCATCTCAATGAATTCCGATGACAGACAGACGAGGGATGCGGGAAGTGCGAAGGTTTATGCGTGATGCGTTTGATGAGGAAAAAGGTCGAGTGGGTTTATCCGATTCATTTCACACCGCAAACATGTCAATAAACGCGGTTGAGGTTAAATTAATTCACCGCGTATTATTCCGCTGGCAAACAGCCGAAAACCACGTTGCCCAAACATCAAAAAATTATATTATTATAAAGTTTTATAATATTTTCATTAAAATCAACCGCCACAACCCATGGATTGTATATCAATATAGAAGAAAAAGTTTCCAGACTTGTTTTTCTTGCATCCCGAAAGCAACACAATAAAATTAACAAATTGCTTCAAAGATTGAACCTGAACATCAACACAACCAGACGTTGTTGAAGTATTCCACTTGTCTAGTCTTCATAAACATTCCATTTCACACGAAACAGCCGAGAAAAAATTAAATTTATCAGAAGTCCTAAAAACAGTGCGAAGCAATAAATATCCAGGAGCACAGCATACGAAAGTCTGGCGAATTCAGAAAATTGGAAACCGAAGCAAAAAGCACGAACGCACGCAGGACTACTAGGAGTCAAAAAGTGGACCCAAGCAGAAAAGTTACCATCAGGAAATGAGACATCATTAATCTTTGAAGAGGGAATCTTACGTTTTCTATGTGTTTGTGTGTGTGTGCTATGCGTTGCAAAATCGCAGCAGACAACGGATTCAATTGCATTTTTGTTTTCCGCCCATGATTCATTTCTACGTCTGACCATTCTTCATTCATTCATTTTTCTCTCACAAACGTTACTACAAAGAAAACATGTTAAAACAAGACAAACCAAACAGGATATCATTTTTCAGTGCCTTAAGTGTACAAGATTTCCTCGTGAAGGTCAAAGTCAATGTCACTATAGATCTACATATCAAATAAAGACGTTCCTGGGGAGTGCAAGTATTCAAATATAAACTTAGGTCCTAGAGAGGTCAGTCACCCTCGGGCGGTATTTATCAGATTTACAACAAGGGAGGGTTACGCCATGTCACCGCATGTCCACTGCGCGTCAATCGATGGCGATCACTCTCGAACTCCTTTGATGCATGAACAAAAGCTTTTCCAGCGATGGGCGCCGTGGAAATATGAATTTAATTAGGCACGTGAATGTGCATCCCAGCATCCACAGCATCCCTTTCGGAAGGATCCCGTCACACATTTAGAACAACCAGCGATGATTTAGAACCGTCGAGACACTTGGTTGAACACGATCCATCCGAGTTTAAATTTCTGCATGAATGTTGTAGAATTTTGATATGCAAAATATCAAATTCCAGCGGTAAATATTTGATATGTATCAAGTTCTCTTTTTTTCATATGCATGATATAAAAACTTGGTGCTGCGTAATATTGATATTGACAGAGGAAATAGTACCTGATGGTTGGCGACCCTCTTGCAACCACCAAATGATTAGATTATTTTAACGCACGATCGCGCGTACTTTGAACTTGCGCCTTCCCTAGTCGGTTTCCCCTAACCACCTTCCTCTACCTCCTCCACCTTCGACTTCCCTTAAACGCCGACAGACGTTGTCGGCGACTTACGATTTGATCCTGGGATCGGAAAATCGACCTTGCCCTTTACCTCGAAACCACCCCTTTGAATATCATCTTGCCAATTGCTTTTTTCGCCATGGCGTAAAATTCCACCTTTCCTTCCGGCTTTAAGCCTGGAATACCTGTCGATTGCTTAATGTATTCCACCCTCTGCGAATTTCCGACTTGCTACTTGTAACAGACGCGCAGGAGTGGGGAAAATCGACTGCGACTAAGTTTTATTTTTTTACCTGATTTTCACATCAACAAGCTTTCAAACCGGAAGTAAATTGTATCAATTTCATAGATTAACTAAAAAATAATTCACGTTGTGAAAATTATTATGGATTGATTGAATTAGCGGATTTTACAAAGCGTCAAAATTTCATCCCACGTATGTTTTCTCTAGCGTGAAGGTTTTATTCCGCGAGATGAATTTCCGTTCTTGCACGCAAATAGAATAAACAACCGCCATTCACCCTTTCCATTACTACATTCACTTCTATCTGTAGACACGCTCTCCGTCTATCGCATTCGCTGCCAAATTTTGTTAGCCTCCCAAAGACACATGTAACTAACAAACAAGCGCAAACACAAACTCGCAATCGGCGGCGGGTGCACAAACCTGGAAAACAAAAAGGACGTGCCTGTGACTGTGACTGTGTGCCTGGGAGAGAATGGCGAAAAGGAGAGAGAAAGAGCGGAAACAAGGTGCATCCAAGTATGACACTCGGCCGTGCTGTACTCATCCGGGCGTGAAACGCCATAAACGGCATAAACGTGTATGATACACAGGGTATATCATAAATTTAATAATCTAGTAAATATTATCTCAACACCTATAGATGCATTGATTTAAATTTTAAGGTTTTCAATTAAATATCACTTAAATAAAATTATTTTCCAAAAGTTGCGCGCAAATCAACTAAAAACTCCAAGTTTTCCAGTGTGTGAGCTCATCGAGGGTGGAAACGGTGGAAGCCATGCCATCTGGCGTCCATCACGTGTCAAAAACGTGATCAACACGCCTAAGAAGCCCACCAACACCTCCGGAAAACTTTTTCGCTGCCATACCGCAAACTTTGCACATTTCTTCGCGATGAGAAAAAAAAAACAATTTGGCAAAGTTTTAATTTCGATTCAAACGAAACCCACACTTAAAAGAAGACTCAAACTAATTGATTCTATAGATATCGTAAATTTACTCGAATTAACCATAAAATAAATAAATAAATAAATAAAAACTCAACTCTATAAAGTTGAGTAGTTGTATTTGTACATTTCATAGGTGGAACAACATTCACCTGAACGCTAGCAAGCGCAAACAGGTGTTTTCCGCATTTTGTTTTCAATGTTTTTCCCGCATTTCCCGGCGCCGCATAAACGACATAACTATCTGCTGCTGGCGCTGCTAACATTTATGCCGCCGTTTCGCCTTCGATACGTGCGCGCTTGTGAGTTTTCTCGCATTTTCCACCAACCGCTAAAGGTGCGCTCGACAAGCTCCACATCGACGCTGGCGACAAAGTGAATCAACTGCGCAATCAATGTGCAAATGTGGAAATGCTCAGCGGAAACGCACAAACGAGCGAAAATAAAGGCGATAAATTTAGAGATTACTATTTTACGCGAGCGGAAACAAAAGAAAATAAAAGCCTAGCTGAAATTGTGTTTTAACTGGGAAAACATAAAATTTTATAAACACACATCCACAAAAAAAACATAAAATAAATCACAAGTCATCGGAATAATTTGTAGAAAATTTGTCGTACTTACCAATTAGGTCGACGAATGTCTCACAACGCGGATGTGCATCGACTCGATAACCTTAGGTCGTGATAAGTGATAACAAAAGTGGAAGTCGAAGTCACTGCAAACAAAAGAAGCATTATTAACACAAGTGCAACAAAATAACTGCATCAAACAAAAACATTCTACAATAATAAATCAAAACGTCTAAACACTCTAAACCCTAAAGTACTTTCGCAACTCCCAAGTTTCTTTTTTGACAGCTGCTTCTTGCAATAAAACACAATAAGCTTGTCAGACATAAAATAAATGTACGATCGCAGCAAAGAAGCATGAAAAAATATCAGCCGCTTCATTGTGGAACTATTAGCGCCATTGGAAATTTATAATTTTATTACACCCGATTATTTCGCGCCCTTGCGCCGCATTACAGCCCGAAATCGCATGAGTCATCCCCGAGACTCGATTATTCCGCTAGCACATAATTTTCGAAAAACGTCGCGAGTTTTATCCGAATGGCGGTGAACTTAATGCAATAACGACATTAAATAAATTGATGATATCGCGCGGGCGAGCGTGCACCTCCACCCCTCATACCCTCATTCGCCGCGTGCACTTAGTTAAAGCCCGCGCTCGTTCACAACTAGCGCGTAAGAAATGTGAAGAGTAAGCAAGCACCACGACGCACTTAATGTAATAATATAATCGAGGAATGCGCCGATACTTTACTTTATGTGCGAGCAGTTTGTGCCCCAAGCGGGCGGCGTCATCTCCTATGCAAGTAGGGGGTGAGTGTGTTAAGGGTAGTTGCAGTGGAGACATTTTTTAAAGGGGGTTGGAGAAGAATTGTAGAAATAAATTAAAATAAGTGAAGTATTCGATTGTTTGGTGACCTTGATAAGTAAATCATCTTCTAGGAATTCTATGACTAAGTTAATAATAATATTTAATCAAATTCCTCATGGATTATTCTAAGAAATCAAAGTAAAATGATTCTCGATATCATACACGTTTAGACATACATTACATGGAATTTTATTGTAGGCAACCCAGTTTACTAACCTAACATTTCATTAAAAATGTAGCAAAAAATTGAAATTAGTGAAATATTCAACAATTTGGTGACTTTGATAGATAAATCATGTTCTAGGAATTTTATGGCTAAGTTAATAACAATATTTAATTAAATTCCTCATAGATTATTCTAAGAAATATAAGTTAAATTCATTTTATTGTAGGCAACACAGTTTACTGACGCTAATATATAACCTAACCTTACTTTTCATAGCAAAATTGTGGAAATAAATTAAAATAAATTCATTATTCGACTATTTAGTGACCTTGACAGGTAAATCATCTTCTAGGAATGCAACGACAAAGTCAATACTTAATATTTAATTAAATTCCTATTCTAATTCCAAGAAATTAAGAATAGTCATTTGTTGATCCACGATATTCTCGAAATCTGAATCGGGTTCAGTCATATTTTCCTTTTCAGCTTGCAGCATTTCCATTCTGCACTTTCGTGGAAATTTCCCCGTTTGATTATTCCAGGAATGCGCAAGTTCTAGAACGAGGACGAGGACACGAACATGACGTGTACTCAGATAACAGTCTATACCAAGAATTTCGTCCTGTGCGCGCATTGAATGTTCGCGTACAATATAAAATTCCTAAAATAAATATGATGCCGATATATATTTTATACTCGAGCAGGAAATGAATGGAATAAAGTTCTTAATCTGTTAAAGAAGGTGATGATGCTGTATGATTTCTGAAATGTCCCCGGATAAATTGGGACACTTACGGGATGATAATGCGGACGTGCGGGCTGAAATTCGGGGCGAAGCGCGCGCGCGTCTGCTCCACGGAAAACACCGCGAGCGCGTGTGCTGGGAAAGCGGAAAAATCAATAGCGCCGCAGCCGACAGTGCCGCCGGCACACGGCCACAAGAACAAAAAAAAAATACGCGCGTACATGCACACGAAACACACATACGACAACAAATGTCACAAGATTTAAATTGCATTTTGGGTTGCCTATATTATAAACCAGCATATATGAACTGGAACCTACTAATCATAACTATAAATAATTTTATTAAAGACATGAAATTGCCCACAAGAGATGTGTCCGGATGTGGGCCGCTGTGCGTTATGATATCACACGCATTGTATCGGCGTCATTCAACCCCTAGAACCTTCTATTTCTATTCTTCTGGTTGTGTGCCCCAGAACTCTAGGGCCTCTAGGCCCAGACTTTCGTTTGCTCTCAACACTAGACGCTATTCGGTAATATTGTGTGCCGGATAGTTTGTATTGTGATGCGTTCGTGTGGAATGCACCCCAGTCAAACTGAGAGTATTAGCTTACACCTTGATCTGGATTACACATATTTTATAGCAAAAATATTTTTCTTCTTCCACGGTTTTGAAACACAAAAAGTGGTAGGTACTTTAAACACGACCGTGACTAAAGTAGTTTAAAGTAACCCCAACATTCCCGTTAAGCCATTTAGTACTTAATAAATTACAGTAAAATAAAAAAAGTCTTAAAATTTTTGTTTCTGTTATAGTTCCTTCTTTTGACCATATAAATCAACTCCAAATTGATAAAAATCTCAAAAATACACATTTAAATCGAGAATAAGTTTATTCATGAGTCTAGCTCGATCTATCAGCGTAACAATGAACAATGCCGTTGTGTCCGTGCCCAGAAAGGACAAAAAACAATTCAAACGCCCACAACTACCGCAAATGTACTCGAGTTGTTCTTCCTCCTTCAGACAAAACAAACAGACAATCATACCCGAACACTAAAAATGACGAGATGCTAAACGTTGCCGCACCTCTTCGAAACACAAAACAAGCAAAGGTAAAAGAAGGTAGGTTTACAGCTACCTGAATATGATTATGATTACTAGGGTCTGATCAAAACCTGCCATCAGGTAAGAACAGATGTTTCCTAAAAACATTTCATAACTTTAAAAAACCCAAACTAAATTTTCCTGTCTTAAAAATAAAAATAAAATAAAACTAGTTGAGTTTATGCTTGACTTAACAGTATGACTTATTGTTTCTATAATTAAAGTGTGAAGTGTTAAATCAACTGTTTATTTATCATGTCTCAAGCTGTTTGTTCCGTTTCGCACACATATCATGAATGTAAATAGTCAAGTATGATTCAATGCAATATTTTTATCTAAATATATTCTCCGCATCAGCCACAATCCGCGTAATAAACCATTATGTCAACCGCGCATTTAAAGTGACATTTGTGTTGAAATTGACTCACTAAATGTCTCAATGACATTGATAGTACTCACTCGCGACTCCCAGCTCCGTGCCTATTTCTAGTGCTTCCGCATTGTGGCTCTTTTGAATGCCGGATGGTTTTCAATGGTCGTGTACGTCGGTTTTGTTTGAATTTCGTCATTGTCGGCGGCGGTAATGTGCGTGCGCGCACAACCCCCCTCAAGTTATTCAATACGCGACACGTGTTTAATCACGTGCAGCGTGCGACCCCGCGCGCTCGCCAGATGCTACCTCATTTTTCATACCGAAAGAGAGAGAAATTCGGCCACTGCCACTAACAGAGTAAAATAAATGTGGCGAATTAAATCAAACATTAGCCAAAACAAATATATGGAGCGTGTACAGCGCCAAAATAGCCACCCTTAGTTTAAACACATTTTCACAAGGAGAAATAAAGCAGTAAAACGTGGAAATTGAGTTATTAGCTGTACGTTACGACGCCCATCGACACAATAACGCCGCATTAAAAAGCGCCAAGAAACGTCATTTCGTGACGGTGATCGTGCGGGTGAAACATGAGCCACTACCACGGAGGTGGGAGACTCGCCGCCCGCCCACCCGCCTCCCTGTCCGTGAATTGGTAATTTACGTTCGAGCGGCGATTTGTATCGCCTGTCGCTGCTGCCCCCAATGCGTTACACTCCTACCTGTCGGAAAGTACACACCGCAGGCGCCACCTTCGCGTAATTGCACACAATCCGGTCATAAGCGACGCTGGGTTCAAGCAATTGGCGCTATTTTACAATTAGCGAATTAGTCGATTACCAACTACACTAAAAATTATTTAGAATACAAAAGAAACGTAATACAAATAAAAAAAAATTGATGTTTGTTTGTGACGCTTTCACGCAAAAACTATTGAACAAATTTTGATAAAACTTACTACAGAGATATTTTTAATTAAGGAAAAGAATATAGACTACTTTTTGTACCAAAAATATAATTTATAGGGGTAAAAGAAGGGATGAAAGTTAGTACAGTGAATGAATCATAGTTATAATTATGTAATTCAAACCGAGATGGCACTAAAATACATTTTTAGTATTTATAATTTCTTTAAATTAAAATTTAAATTATTATTGAAGGATTCAGCACGTCATAAGTTCAAGAATCAAAATAGTAATTTGTTAGATTACTTTTTATAAAAATGTAAGCAAAAATAAAAACCTAAGACTTTAAAGATTGATGTGAATTTTATTCGATTGTAATTAGCAGTGTCCGTCACGAATTCTGCATCCGATTCTAATTATTACGACCCCCTGATAGCGTGGCATCGAATGGCGAGGCCGATAATTGCAAACCATCGATTATATTAACATCAAACGTGCATATTAATTCCGGAACAGGGCACACGCAAGGTCCACGTATGCGTTCGATATCATTCGCGACGATTAGACGTAGATTACCTGCCATTCCACTGTAGGCAACCCAATTTACTGACGCATAAATACAACCTAACCTAACATTTCATAACACAACCAAACATAGAAGTTTCTTCTAAATAAAATAAAAATATTCAAAATAAAAAAAGTGAAACAACAACCGAGTTGAAAAATATAAATCGATATTTGTGTATTTACCAACAAAAATATGATCTGAAAACTAGCTGTACTCGTATAGTTGAATAAATAGCATTCAACAAACCATGAAAATCCGTCCAAATCCAAAATCTATAAAAACGAATTGGATATTTCATATTTTGTCCAGAAAAACAAAATTCAACCAAAACCACTTCATTTTTGATTTATTTATTTTGAATTTTTGTCTATCTACGGATGAAATCAATGGTAATCTCGTCGAAATTCGCAAACTTACGACACGCTATAACTATCGCTATAAACCGTCGACCGCGTAGCGAATCATGAAAGCCGCAACGTCTGACCACGATCGCGAAAACACATTTTAATATCAAAGTTAATAATCCCATTGCGATCGACTCCGGTATAGAGGATAAGCGCGAGTGTTGGGCTGGTCCAATGCAGCGAAACGCAACTTAACGCATCGTATACCACCGCGAAAAGTTCAATATAGTGTTATACGTTATAGAAAATCGTAAAACCAGATTATATTCTCATATCGGACGTTCATCTCGCCACTACAACTTTTGATTAGACCGCACAAGTAAGCACCAAGTAGTCAAAGTGCACTGCGCGGCAATACGAACACAACACGAACACAAACGACGCAATTCAATGCAATTCGGAATTATTAAATTCAAGCAATTTCTTGTGGATAAGATCAATACGATCATGAAACAGCTGGCGATCAATGCACACTTATTCATGTATAAAATTGCAAACAATCTGTATAGATATGTTATAATATTAGTAATGAATTATACTGGCTATTGACGCGAGACGACGCAAAAAAAAATCGACATTCAACTTTCCACTTGGTGTGCGATAACATCTTCGGCTGCATCCTGCAATTTTCTGCATTGCAGTTACGCCGTTGCCGTTGTTGCGGTTGTTAATATTATCGATATCATTATTACGAGTAGAAGTGCCGGCGCGTTGTTGTTAAAATTACACGTGTGTAACATTGTACATTGTAACAAAGTAACTGAACGACGAAACGTGAGTTTTATATTGCTATTTCATGCTCAAACTATTGCCGAACAATACATCTCGATATATAACATCCAGATGTGTTAGTTACAACATTTATAACTCAAAAATGGTAGAAGTAAGTTTGATAATATTTGATTTGTTGGATTTGTCTCCTAAGAAAATAGGAGAATCACTATTTGAATATCAAAAATTATGATTTAAAGAGCGTAAAATAAGGGATGAAAGTATATATGGAGATTTAATTGTAGTTATAGTTGAATATATTAATCAGAGATGGCAATAAACTGCATTATTAGCATTTCTTATTATTTTTAATAAAATTACGAATTTTTTTTATGAAATTGACACATTCTAGGCCTAAGAACTTATTATGTGCCGAATCTGTCAATAAGATTCACAATTTTAATTTAAAGCAATAAATAATGCTAATATTTCACTTATTTGCACAAAACTTACATAAAACACCTAATTACAATAAATAAAACTCAAATAACTAAAAATACCCTTTTACTTTAATTTCTAGGAATAAAAATGATATTATTATTATTTTCTGTTTAAAAACCATATAAAGTCTCCTTGTTTACTCTAATAAAAATTCATTTCCATCATTATCATTAAATGCTCAGTAAAATAGAGGCAAGTTTCAACATCAACATATATTGTGTCACCGCAACAGCAGTAGGTATTCGAAATTACACCCTGTCAAAACAACGATACGAGATAGCCACGATGACCGCCTGTCCGCATATTTATTTACGCGTCCGCCCGCGCCCGGAAATGCATACGAGGGAATTTTTAATAATGCACACCGAGCATCTCCGCGCTCGTACATACGCCATTCGTGAATGCAAATGTGTCAACGCACAAAATGCAAATAGCCAACGTTTGATATCCAATTAATGCACTCACCAGCCTAGCTCGTCCGCATTGAATAACAAACCAACCAACAACAAACAACTTGCAACGGCACTCCTGCTACATTGTACATAATTGCATGTTTTTCTGCCAAATACTGCGTGCAAAACACGATAAAAACTATTGATAACAAAGTAAAACCTTGTCATTGCCACAAACATAAAATACTTGAAGATATCAGTTGTAACCAGAAACAGCATGTGAAAAAAACTTGTGTTTACGTTCGGTTCTGAAACCAAAACGAATTGAACTTACCTTTGAAAGTAGGAACTTCCTGTTAATCCCAGCGTTTAAATGTGCGATTATGAACAATTCCTCGTCATCTCTGAGCGTGGTCCTCGCTCTGCACTTGCACATCCACACGAACCCGAAAAAGCACCCCGAGAGCGCGCTCACCAGCACGAAGGAGAGAAATCGATGCCGCGCAGTGTTCGCGCCGTTCTCCGCCGACGAAGATTCTCACCGTGCAGTGCAATCGTATCGTTGCACCAGGAACCGAAGACGATTGCGATGGTGATGCGTGCAGGCCGCGCTCCGGTGTTTGCCTCCGTGAGCTGACTCGCGGAGTCGCGGCGGTGTGTGGTGTGTTTATCGATGACCGCGGCGCGCCTGTACACTCGCCGACGTGACCAACTAACGACTGAACGTCTTCGGCAATGGCCGCAGCAGCGCGCACGACAAGAATATTACAATAGTGATACAGCTAGCGCCCTCTGTCGTTTACTTTAGGTATTATTAATATAAATAATAAATTTATTTTCAAAAATAGTTTGAAATATATCTATATCAATAATATTCTAACAAGACAATAATTTAGTTTGTATTTTAGAAATAGTGATTTATTAATTTTTCTCGTATTACCTTTTTTATTTAGTTTTTAGTCTATTTTAACTTACGCCATCTGTGTTTAGGAGTGAGACCTAAAATGATGGCCATTTTTGTTTCCAGAAATAACTACAAAACAAAGCATTTATTGTAAACTTTAAATAGGAGGTAAATATAATAAGATAGTAAACATTATAATATAAGTCATAAAAATAGATATTCATTTGTGTAAAAATAATTTAAAGCTTTTTCTTTCGTGATTTTCGCACCTTTTCGCCGACTGCTACAAAAGAAAAGAAAATAATTACCAACATTTATAATTATTTAAAAATTTGAACTTACAATGAACTAAACATAACTCCACTGGAACACCAGCCCCTGCAAAAATTCCAACCACATCTTTTGCTTCATTGATAAAACATCATTTTCGCTTTTAACTTCCACAAAACAGCACTGTAATTAATAAAAAAAAAAGTTAAATCATAGCTACAATGAATTAAAAGACTTAATCACCTGTTTTGATTTAATGTTCCAAACAAATAAATCAGGCATACCAGCTCGATACTGCCTTGGATCTTTCACGAACCTCTCCAACATTTTCCTCAATTTCACCCTGCCAATGCACGTAGCAGCTTCAACCATCACATCACCAGAAAGACGAACATTATGCACACTTTTCTTATCCGAGTGCTTCACGTGAAAATCCCACAAGTATTGTACAAATACCTCATTTTCCCAATTCGATGAAATATCATCCAGTCTTTTATCAATCGCCTCCTTTCTTGCAGTGTAAAAATCCGTCGAAAATAAATCCAGAGGAATGTATTGCAACCGACTTATAAAAGGATGTGCATTAGGTACGTCCGAGTAGATAATATCCCAAAACAACGCCACGAAAAGTGTAAGCAAAAGCGCACCTTCACAGTGTATTCCCATTGGATAATCACGCTGAGCATAGCTGCGTAAAGCTATCTCTTCCACCGTAAAAAGCTGAGAATCTTCTTCGTACAACAACCGTCGGCCTTGATACTTTCCAATCTTCTGTGGTTTAGCAGCGATGACAATTTTAAGCACATCGTTACAAGTTGGTGCAGGCACAAGTTGCGGGAACGCATTTGCGCTAAGTTTGTGACGCTTGATAGCAGTCGCCGCTCGCACTGAGAGCAAGATCTTATCAACCAGTGCTACATCCGCGGATGACAATCCGGCTGTGATGACAGACTCAGCATGGGCATGATGTCCATCTTTCAGAAGTAACATCGCCAGGCGGTCGTACCATTCACCGCGATGTACACCTCGACAGCAGTGGTGTAAGTGAAACAACCACTTCATAACTTCACTGGCACTTTTGGTGAGATCAGTTGCAGCCCAGGTGAGAATCTTCGAATATACATATTCAGCAGTAAACCGTCGATGAACCGGCGAAGTATCCATAGGTAGATGAGAAAGTTCCTGAAGGTTGCTGAATGCCTTTTCAGCGATTTCCATCAGTCCATGTTTTCTAGTCTTTCCTCGTCGTTCCTTCTGGTAACAATAGTTGCAGTACAATTCTATGGCTGTGGCGTATCTATCGAAAGCAGCAGTTGTTTCAAAAGCGTTTACGTTGGTAACTTGATACTCTGGCAGCTCCACCCGGCCGGACTCAATGTCGGATAGGTACGTATGCAATTCATAGTTGGATGTAATATCGGGTATGGCAAAATAATGTAGTAACTGAAGACGAAAAAGTGCATTACGTACGACGTCGTCAAGCCGAATGCGTTCGCCGAGGGTATCCGAAGCCAAAGTACGTAGATTCTGCTCGGTGGTTTTTGATCCCACACTCGGTTGCTCCGCGACAAATTTCGTTAACAATGTTATTAACGAATGTTTATCACACTTGGTGGCTTTAATCCGCCTCTCTTTCACAAACATTCGCAATGCAGGCACAGTAAGGTAACTTAAAATTGATTCCAAAGTTTCGGATGTCTCAAAATCTGAAACACAAAAACCGTATAACATTAAATTCCGTATTATTCCCATTAAATAAATATAGTGTACCTCTATGAATATAATCCAGTCTATCTAAACTGTCAAGAATCTCATATATTGTCTGCTCTGATTCTTCCAGATTAAGCAATGGTTTAATCTTGTCCAATCTCTGCCATTTTGTGCGTCGAATAAAAAGCCGAACGCAGATATCTAAGTGCACTGGACTCAGTGCAAATAAATTTTCCAACACATGTCTGTTATCACCTAAAAGATTCACTTTTGTTTCGTCATCTTGTATATTTCTCCAAGCATTTATGAAGACATCCCTCACAGGAAGTTGATCCAATTCAGGTTTTAAACTATTTGCTTGATCAACACTTGTTTCTAATGTCTGTGTGGATGTAGACACCTTTAAATTCACTTCAGCTTCCACTTTACAAACCATAGCATGTGGTGATGCAGACTGATCACAAATAATTGTGGCATTTAGGCTTGTATCATTACCATCATCATTGCTATCATTCTCTTCTTTAATTTTATCAATTTGTGTGCGGTTGGCAACTTGCTGAGATGATTCTGATAGTTTAGATTTTATAATTTGTGATGGTTGACTTATATTCAATGACTGAGATACATTCCCTGCAGTAGATGTGTTTAGTTGTAGTGTGTCATACATTGATGGTGAATATAATTCAAGCTCATGAACAGGCACACCATACTCATATAAATCAGTTGTATCCTCATCAAAAATGGCTGCTGAATTTTCATTTGTTTCTTTATCAGCATCACCATCATTCACATCATCAATTACAATGATATCATCAGTTGATTGATTTTCAGTTTTAATATCATCATCATGAAACAATGATTTCCTTGCTTTTGACTGGCATTGACTGTCATGCTTAATCTTTTTTGATGGTGATGCACTTCCATCATTGCATCTTTTAGAAGAAGATTCATCAATCTGATTTTCTTGATCATTATCATCACTATCACTGTCTTCAAGATTAATTGTGAGGAGACCATTCTCATAACTCAATGATTTATCTTGCTCTAGTAAATCTTTTAAGTTTTGTTGATTTTCCTTATTCACTTTGTTTGATTGTGACTGAGTATTACAATCATTATTATCAGCATTTTCAACCTCCATTTTCACATTTCTGGCACAAGTTTTGAACTGATATATCCCATGTTTTTGATTAATTTTAGTTTTCTTATCAGATATGGTTGATTGAGATAATACATCGAATCTTGCTTTACGAGTGCCGCGCTTTTTACTCAACGTAGAAGGTTTCGCAGGCTTACACTTCCGACCTTTTTGTGACAATGATTTTCCCGGCAATATTTGTGGAATTTCCTTCTGAGTCACATTAATTCCATTACTTTTATTATCATGTTTCTGGGAAGAAAAAAACGAGGATATTTCCAGTTGCACTAGCTTCACTCTATCAGTTTTTCCCGGAACTGACGTTTCCTGTTTAACGATCATTCTAAATAATATTTATTATATGAACATTCGCCCATTGATTAGATGCGCAGTCCTGCAGCAACAAGCAAATAGCTTTTTCTAGGAATGCATTAAAGGTTATCACAATATGCATTCTAGTTTAAGGCGTAACAACAAGAGGTCTCTGTTTAAGTCTTCTTCACTGGATAGTGGATTGTTGGAGATTACTGATCTGTATATTGATGAAATTATCATTAATTCATATTTTTGCATTATTGGTTTCTATTGGTTTATAAAAATCATAAATTATATGATTGCAGACTGGGCCAATCAGAGATGCTTATTGTGCCGGCTAATCACGTGATCAAATCGACAATCCAGTGTTTATATAGATCTCAATGAAGAACTCGCCAACATAACCCCAAATTATTTTCTACCTATTAAAGACAAACTTGGAGCTTTTATAACTTAAAAAGATGGCTTTACAAGCTGCAACTAAAACGTTTATGTTGTTAGGAGAATGCGTGCCATGTGTGAAACAAAACGCATCAAAATTTCGTATTAAACGTTTAGAACTAGATCAAAACCTCCTCATGGTAAGCACATCATAAACACCTGATTTTCACATACACAATAAATGGAATTGTTCTTTATAGTATTTTCGAAAAGACGACTTCATTTATGCTCATGATCCCGAAAAAGTGTGCAAAACCGGCGATATTGTCCTAATACAAAAACTGCCCAACAAAATGACCAGACTCATCACTCATGAAGTAAAAGAAGTTGTCTACAAGTTAGGAGACATTACAGATCCACTCACTGGCAAGAAAGTTGTGGCAGGAAAGTTCAGAGATCATGTGGAGACTGTCAACAAAGTCTATGGCAAGAAATCAACTGCATTTGACTATGAGAAAGCACCCCAGAGAGGATGGCAAGAGGACAAAAAGGATTACACCCACAGGGAAACTTATATCAAATACCATGAGGATGGTACAGACCAGCCTTACTCTGTATAATGTTATGGTTTGCAACTAGTCAAAAATATCCATTAGTTACTTATTAAATTCTTCAAATTTAATACTTTATGATGTGTAATTTGCAGAATAGGGCATAATTAATTTAGTATCGCCAATTCGCGTCTTGTGCAACTGCGCAGCAGCGTGTGTCAACTGCTGCGCGATGTCAGCGTGCGCATTGGGCGCCAGCTGGCTCACCTCCAGCTCGAAAATCCTCGCTAAACCTTCCAATAACTCAAGAAAACCCAATTGCAATGCAGCTTTTTTCAATCTGTTGAGTTCCTTATAAAACTGCTGAGTTTTTTCCGGCAACTTCTTCGCGTGTCGCAATATCTTTTGAATGTCTGATTGAAGTCCGGTTTGCCGTATCCACACGACGCTATTTTGTGAGTAACTGCGTTTGTCAGAAGATCGCACTGGAAATGATTGCAGAATGTCTTGATTGACGCCTTCGGCGCAGTGCAGATTGTTTAGATCGCCTAACCATGGCACCGCGTCGGCACCCGGCGCGAGAATGGTGAGCATTAAATTCGACTTCTTTTTCGAGTCCGCCCAGGAATAGATGAAGCCGAACCAATCATCGGCGACTGTGACGAGCGCGGCCATGTTTTCCACTTTCAACGCGCCGTGGAAGAGTACACAAAATGAGGGCTGTTTGTCGTCTTCGATGATTTCCTCCACATCGGAATCTGTTTTCGAGGTGTTTGCATTCGTGGAATTCATGGCTGTGGGCAGGATGAGGTGACGGCTCACACCCGCAGGTGAACCAATGTCCGCAACTGCGATGAAGCCAACAACTTCGATTGTTTTCGATATTGTGTACGTTCGCTTCTCAAACTCGCAAACTTTTGTAAAAGGCTGTAAAAACTTACTTTGTATCATATACTATACAATTATTTGCTTGATTTACTTACAATAGGCATTGGTGATAAGTAAATCGAAGATTCAAGATGGCCGCATTTCAATGTTCCTTTGAAGCTGGTGTACATATCATCACCTAACTTCTGGAAGAGATTAGTAATACTAATTTCCGTGATTTGGTCAGGGACAATAACCGATCCTTCACCGCCACAAAGTTCGATCAGTTTTTGATATTGTGGTTTTGCTATAAAAACAACAAAAGAGGTTAAAATAGTTTTTATGCAACCGCAATAGTGACCTACCTCTTATCAACGAAGCTTCATTAGGGGACACACACAAACAACGTGTAATTTCGCAGGAAACGCAAACGGCAGCGGGAAATTTCCTCCTTGATGGTAACGATTCAAAGAATCTCGAAGGGAGCCTGGACCAACGCCAGTGTTACCATCGGTTACGAGTAAAATCTAGAAATTTACCCAGAAACCAACTTTTTTACTGTTTCTTGTTGTTTAAGCATAAAGTTTACCTGACACAACGTATTGTTGCCCCATTCTTCTAAAACAATCTGATTGATGCCCTTCAAAGCAGATTCAATGCAAGTTTTGTCGTAATCTTCAATGTTGGTGAGTTCTTTCTTGATGTGGTTGTAATCGCGTGTGAATTGACACCGTTCTTCATATGTAGATGAAAATGTCACCTAAACAAATAAATAAAAGACCATTGACATAGTAAAAAAACAAAAAAAACATAAGAAATGCAAGTAAAACATCAAGAGTTAAAAAGTGAGGTTAAACAATCAATAAATGTTAAAAACACAAACAAAAATAATTTACTGTATTGAACGTCGGTAGTATAAGTTAAGTCGAGTTTTCAATTTATTTTATCGTTCGCATTGTAATGGTGGTACATAATCAATCAGATGGACATAAACAAAGTATTAAAGTCATATTCATAAGTCGTGCGCTCCGCAATTCCTTCCAACAGCCATCATGGTAAAAAAAACAACCAAGAGTAGTTCTGAATCAATTCATTTGAAGATCGCAAATAGCATTTGGGCCTCTCGTCGAATTACGCTAAATTAAATAAAATCAACAGCTCGCTATACACACAGGATATACACGCGGCGCGGGTGTTCGCATTCGTTATTTCGCCGCCACCGTCGCCTGTGCCGCCTTCTTCGCTTTGATAGTCTCCACTAGTTCCTTGTACCGTCGCATGCAATCCTTCTTACTGCGTGCGGGTATACAATCAGCGATTCTATCCCAGCGTTCCGGTGTAGACGCCGGATAAGTTTTCAACGCCTGCTCCAACAACTGTTGTTCGGTTGTTGTCCATGCGTTGGCTGCGTTCTCCTTCGACTCTCGCTCCTGTGAATTTTCTTTCGGTTCTTTCGCTATTTTATTTTGTTTCGTATTATTCGTATGCGAGTTACCATTCTGTAATGGTTTCTCTTTTGTTACGCCATTCGTCATCACCTCGATATTCGTCGACATTTCAGAATCCTTAATTGTGACATCACTCTTCTTTTCTTTGATGAAATTATCAAACGCTTGGTTATTCGCTGCTTCCTTTAGATTATTCCTTGAGAAATCAGTACTCTGCATATCCTTAGCTTTGGCGAGTACCAACTTCGCGGTGAATTTCGAAGTGTTGTCCTGGAAAGTCCCATGTTGATTGATGAAGTTCGCCACGACTTCCCAGCGTTGATTCGTGCCAGCCGGGAATAAATTTACGGCTTTTACCAGTAATTGAACATTGTCTTGCGTCCACTCGGGATTTATCTTTGCGATGTTGTTCTTTACTTGTTGGCTGATTTTTGTTGGTATGTCTCTAGACTTGCGCGTTTTTCAGCCTCGACGCGCTCCTCGGACTCTTTCACAGCCTTCATGAACGCATTCTTACCATTATTACGAATGTTCTTGGTGAGTTCTTCGAGTTCCAAGGCGCCTAAGGCTTCGCATATTCGTTCGATTGCGGTGAGGTGACGCAGGTTGTCATCGGGATTGGATGCGTAGTTATCGTTCGATTTGCAAATTTCGCGGAAGGCTTTGCGTTCCTTTTTGATTGCTTTCTTTTGAGCTTCGCGTTCCTGGCGCTTCGCTTCGATTTTCGCACGCTCGGCGGCCTCGGCGCGCTCCTTCGCCTGTTGAGCTTCGCGGAGAATACGTTCCTCTTCTTCTTTCTTCGCCTGTACAGCGGATTGTTTCGCACGCTTTGCCGCGAGCTTCTTATCCTTGTCCTCCTGCTTGAATTTCGCTATCCGAGGGTCCGAATTGTATGCCATGTCCACTAACTGCCTAATACGCGACATTTCTTCCTTCTTCTTGCGCAGACGCTCCGCTTTGTTAATTTTGTCAACGTACCTAAACGATAAACATATTATTTCAATGGATTAATGTTTAATATTTATTTATTTACCTTCGTTCATCACGATCGGAGCATTTATCCCTTTCTTCTTCATCCTCATAGGAATACTCTCTCCAAGATTTAAAGTCATACCAAAATGAATAAAACCTCTCAACATCCTGTCTTGAAGCATCTTCACCTCCTAGCTTAGGCACCCTTCTCTTTTCAGACCACCTGGCATTCAGGTCAAAGTACTTCTTGAAAGCCTTGTAGAAATCCTTCTTAATTTCCCCACTGGATGGCAAAGAATCATCAAATTCAGGATCCACAGAATCATATGATCTCCTCTTGGTAGGATTACCAAGAATATCATATGCCATGGTAATACAAGTGTAGTAATCATCATCTGGCTTGATATCTTCGCCCAGTGCTTTCCGCTTGTCAGGATGATGTTTAAGCACCACTTTTCTATATGCTGTCTTGATAGTTTCATCATTGGCCTGATGTCTTAGTTTCTCAATGCCAAGCACCTGGTAGTGATCCTGTTTCTTCCACTCTTTGGGATCCAGACTTCGAAGGAAGTCTACATCTACCTCAGCAATGACTTGCTCAGGTTCTGGGTCTGGAGTGCCTTCTTTTGGAGTTGGCGGATCACATTCTAGCTGTATGACTTTGTGAGCGAGGTAGAGCAGCTCGAATTCGCCGTCGGGCAGCCGCTTCTTTACAAAGCGATAGCTACAAATAATAATTATAAAATTCGCTGCAGGTGTTGTAGGTATGAGGAATTCGAGCGCGCTTTTGAGGTGTACTTACCGCACTGCAAGCGCGCGGCATTGAGGTTGACTTTTTGCTTCGCACATTTTCGCTGGCGACACTAATTCACATCACAAGCGGCCGCAACAGCTGCCTACGCAGATACCGGTACTGAGCGCGTTCTCTCAGAAAGTACGTAATCAATATTTAACACGATAAATAATATCCTAAACGTCGCGCGCTCGGCGATCTGCACAAGCCATGTGCATGCCGAATGTCAGGCAGAGAATGGCATGGCGTGCAGGCTGCCAACCACGCAGCATGAAAACTACCAACATGTTACTAGAATTAAAAGTCCATGGGGGAAAACAAATTTTTTCCACCAGATTTCTAGTGCATGAAGAAACAAAACTATATTGCACAACGAATTAATTTAAATTAAAACTAATCGTAAGTAATGCAAATATTAAAATAGACCGCCAATATTTAATATAGAGTTGAAGAGTTTTTGCCTTCTAAACAAATTCAGAATATAATGAAATTATTCAATGAAATATATCAAATTACATCAACTATTTTATTTAAAGATGAAAAAGAAAAAGAAGTAATAAAAATATACCATTATTATGTAAAAACTTACCAATGATAGAAATTCAAGTTTAGAATGCACACACAAATGATCTAAAAACATTTGTATGCCATGAATTGCCAACTGCTTTCTAGTTGTCTTAGTGTTAAATCCATCCTGTAGAATTATAGGCCGAAGCATGGACAGAGAACTATCCAGTAATATAACAGTAGGCATTTTAATTTATCTATTGCGCTTCAGATGTTACGAGTTGCACTTTTTACTTGTTTACCAAACTTCATTTAAACATAACCTTTATATACAAATCATATGTTTGGAAAGTTGGCAACTTCAAACTCTGGTGACATCACTAAAACGCAAACTACAGGATGTATACACAATTTAATATTTATAATTCCTTTGGTTTGAAACAAGTTAAAAAGTTATTGCATAAAATCGACTTAAATTTAGGCAATAGAAAGACATAAATCAAAAATCTCAAGAAAGTTCCGCTGTAGTGCAACATACAAAGCGCAATGGCGATCCAACTTCCGGTAAATTCATTGAACAATGGCGGCAGTTTGTAAATCCTTGCTGTTTTCAACGATGGCGTCGAGTATGCGTGCATTGCGTACAGAATTAATCTTTGCATTGAAGTACAAACATACAAAAAGTTCAAAACCAAGCAAAATATTAAATAATATACAATGTTATGGCACTTTTTAGTAAAAATGGCGGGTATGCTCTCATTTCTCACACTCTGCACCAATTTATAAATCAATATACCAATGGAAATACTAATTAAAACGCAAGGAATAAAAACTTTAAATATCGCGAGTAAATTGATCAGAATTTGACTGTTGTCCATTAATGTACACGTACAAGTAACATTTTTCGTTGAATAGCTCTCAATCGTAGAGGATAATGTAAATTGTGGTATGCTAAGTGACAAACAAGTAAACCAGATGAGAATACAGGGAATAACAACAGATATGTCTTGTTTTTCGTTAAAAACAGGCCTTGCGGCAGTTGATATTGAGGTTAAATTTGTTTGTCCTGATGTTGAAGTTGAACTTGAACTTGAAGAGGTTATGACATCGCGAACCAGACACTCCTGCGACGCGTCACACGAGCTTGTCGGAGGAGTTTTCATATTACAGAGAGAGATCGTATGGTAGTTAAGTGATATGATTAAGTACAATGTGAGAGTATTGCAGAGAGTTTCCGAACCGGCAAATAAAGGACAAAGCTCCGATGAAAAAGTCCACGCGTTGTTTTTAAGTGAAAGGAGTTCCACGATACAGATCCAAGAAGAAAACATGTCGATTGATGTAAGTTGAGTTATTATTGATAATGTGCCTGTGAAAATAACAATGAGAAAACTTGCATTTTGTCAAAATAATAATAACTCACCGTTTCTTTTAGTTTTCATCAACGCAAAGAAAGAAATTCCATTGAAAATTATTCCCAGTGCGATGTTGCCGCAGTAGATTCCAAAAATCCATAACCAAACTTGTTCAAAGTGGTTTTCAAAGGTTTTTACATCTTGTCCTTTAGGAGTAAGAACATCAGCATTATTTTTCGTTACATTGACGGTAATATTTTTAATGGTTTCGTCGATAATTGAATTTATTGTTTCAAAAATGTTGCTTTCTGTTGTAGTTTCACTTTGATTTAGATTAATTACTGCTTTTGTTACGTTTTCTTCCATATTTTCACTTAAAATTCAATTATTTTATACTTATTTGTTGTATTTAAGTATATTGTAGTGTTAAAACAATGTTTATGCGGAGAGTTGGTTCTTGTACACTAAATGTGCACGTAATGAAGAGTGACATACTCGTGAGAGTGCGTGGAGCAAGTGCGGCAAGTGCTTCATGTGCCTCATGTTTCCACTTCAAGCGATTCAAGCCCCAAGCACACCAGTCGAGCAGAAAAACAATCATATATTCATGAAATCTATATAGTTATACAGCCATACGCAAATAGATAGCATAAGATTACTAGGGCGTACATTAAATGATGTCTTATTACTCAGTTGGTAAGTTATAATTGATTAATCATGCCCGTAACTCAATAATCACACGTTTAAACATTCATAAATGTCAATAGACGGATATTTCCCAGCGGCCATTTTGAAGTTGTAATAATCTATTAGTGATTATGTACATTCAGTATTACAGTTCGAAGAAGGTAGTAAAACTCGTGTAAGTCTCGTTTGCCGCATCGGAAGTGACATTCAGTTGCAAGTAATTTAAGTCGTCTGCGTCTGTGCGTGCGTATGTTTCAGGCTGTTGGTGTACGTTTGAATGGCGAGACGGATGAGAGCAGTGAAACGCGCCAGCCGGAATGCCATCGGTGTCGCGCTATTTATTCAACTGCACCACACACACATCTGGTGTATTTTTAATTTTCTTCGTGCACTATCTGTTCTCTCGCCGGCGCTTTCCTTTCGCGTCTTTGGCTCTCAAGCCAGAAATAGCATAAAAAATAGAGCAAACGCACATTGTTTTTCGACGGAAATTGTTCTCAAAACTTTACAGAGAATTGAAAAAGTTCAATTTCTTAAATATGAATAGTTTTTGTACCTTTTTGTCGCTTTTTGCATTATTGCTTATTTTTCACCACAAAGTAAAATCAAATGATAAATTGAGTACAATATGCAATTAAGAGTAAATTTAAAGTGAAAATTAATACTTTAAACATAATACAAATAAACATCGCATAAATATCATGTCAAATTTGCTGTCAAATACATAACCAAACCTCAAAACTGAATTTTTTAGATTAAAATCAAATATATTTAAAATTTCCGATACGAAATCAGAAATCAGGAAATGCCAAAACATTTGCACATATAAAACTCTACAAACCACCCCACAACAATACAATATTTGTTTCTTACATGTCTGCCATAACAGCAAACATTACAATAAAGAAATCTATAAATGCACACCCTCCTTAATGTCTACATGCTGCACCATATATCATTATTTAATATTTATAAAATTGTGTTGTCTTCGTCTTAGCTAATAATATCTACAACTTGGCGTCGGCGGCCTTCAGCAGAGGGCCCAACTTCTGCGCCATCATCACGTTACCGGTGACCTTCAACTTGCCCTTCATGAAAGCAGACTGTGGATTCAGTTTGCCAGTTGCAAGTTGCACAAAGTCCTCATCGGAAATGGTCAGGGTTGTGTTGGGTTTTACACCAGTTGGTGCACCTTCATACACCTTACCAGCCTTCAAATCCATAGCTGAAAATTTATTAATTAAAAATTTTAATAATGAGTATACATTAATTTAGGTTTTATGTAATTAATTATTCAACTTACTCCATTGTTTAGCCTGTTTGCCATCTTTAGTGATGATGTACAAGAAGATGCCATTTACAGCCTTTGCCTTGGCTGGGTCTTCATTCACTTTCGAGATAATGAACTCAAAGATAGCATCAGATTGGAGAGCCATGGCGGATGTGTTGTTCAACGCAAGCGAATCGACTTCAACGACTGATTTCAGGTCCACGTACGAGCCTGTAAGTTAATAAAACTTTTGGTATTAGCTAATCTGAAGTATTTCTAATCTTCTATTGTGATTACAATCAATTTAGCACATAAGTGAGCACAAGCTCGTGTGATTCGTTCGAAGGTTGTTAGATTTCTAATGATTTTTAAGCTCCACCGACGGTGCAAAGTGCAAGAGTTACAAGGTTTAACTAGACACATCAATAATCAAACGTTTTATTAATAATTATCGCAGTTTTAAAGGCAGTGGCAATAATTCTTAATTACAAAATGAGGTTATATAACTTTTTATAAATTTAATTTCGAAATTGCGGAGGAAAAGCCAAAACGCACCTCTGATTATTACTCACAAAATATAGAACTAATTATGATTCTTTTTTTAGTTTATACACTGCGTGAATAAGCAAAACAGTCTGATAACAAGTTGACGAGCGGACGGAGTGCGCGTTGAGTGTAAACTGGCGTAAACTATGATTGGGCAGAAAACATCGCGTGAAGTTAGGTTGGGACGGATATCGAATTTCGTTGCGTTGCTACTGAATATGAATACAAATGTTGATGAATTAATAAGCATAATAAGTCGTTGAGGCTTATTATACCATTTTTATACACAATACCCGACAATTTCTAAGGTTTTATCATTTTTTGAGTGTTTTTTTCCTAGATAAATCGATGAAATGAACAAAAAATGCTTTTTTACATAAAACATTCCACATGTTATTTTTGGTTTAACGTCAGACTAATACCAAATTTAGTTACTAATAATAATAATAAAAATCATTAGCTAGACTTGTTTTACGGCAGTACACAGCAAACAAATTTTGTTTTATGTTGTTATTTATAGAAAAATAAAAAAGTTTTGGTAAATAAGCGTATATAAATTAAACTGCGCATGTGTAGATACAAAATGGCGCATAAATAAGCACCGATGAAAGTTCAACCATGTTATGAACTTGAATATTATTAGATTCCACAGAAATTTCTGATAAATTAGTGATAAACAAGCTTACACAGCTTCAGATAAGAATTAATTGTGTCGAAATAAAAAACATGTATTACATAAATACACAGTTCGAGCGTACTGATTGTAATCTGGATGAGTTGTCACTTTTGTTGTTATGCTTTCGAAATTACTTTAGAATAAAGCTTTAATACTTTGTGTTATAATCATTTCAAGCGCAATTATGTCCAATTAATCACCAACACTTCAATATTGAACTGCCGGTGAAAGTAATTTAAATAAGCTATAAAAACACTTACCACTGATGGTGACGCTATTGTTCTCGACTGTCGATGTTTCAAAATGGATGCGGTTGCCGGCACGCCACATGTCTACTTTGATTGTTTGGCCAGGCAGAACTGGTTTCACAAAACGGCACTATTAAAAACAGATTGAATTAAAAATCATATACAATATTTTAAATATATGCAATTTTTCTAACCTTGAGTGCTTTGAACAACTTGGGATCGTTACCAGCATAAGCCTGCAGCACTAAACGTACTGAAATGCCCAAAGAGCAAAGACCATGAAGAATCGGTTTCTTGTAACCGGCAACAGCAGCAAAGTTAGGATCAATGTGTAATGGATTAACATCACCTGAAAATAAATTTCCAACAATAAAATAATTGTTTAAAATGATTACTTTTAGACTTACCACTGAGACGGAATAATGCAGCTTGATCTTGAGAAGTTTTATAAGACAAACTCTTATCACAGCTGCGGTTGGGTTTCGGCACGCATGGAATCAACTTGTTGCCGCTTCTTGGTCCACCAAATTGACCAGCACCAACGGCAAAAGTCGCTATTTGGTTCCTCCACAAAGGTTTACCACTTGCATCTTGACTTACAACTAAACAACACAAATAAAGAAAACAATTAATATCTTAATATTCGGCAATATTAAGTTAACTTACCATCTGTAACGATAACAGCTCCGGATCCTTTGTCCAAAACCTCCACAGTATTCATACTGTTAGTGAAAGTCTTCGGCGCAGAGAAATCATCCATGACTTCCAGATATTGCTCACCATGCAGGACATTTTCAAGAGAAACAGTTTTACCAGGCACAACATTATCCATCGTGCTTGAAGACATCAAAGCACCAACAGACAACGTTGCTAAATAAGTGGGCAAAACGCTGAAATCTTCGTGATTTTCATAGAGGAAACGAAGATCTCCTGGATTAGTCACGGATGCTCCAACTAAATATCAAAAATATAATAATTTTAACCTGAATTATCAAAATTTATAACTAAAAATATTAACTTACCTCCCAAAGCATACAAAATAGCATCTTTATCATTAAATGATTGACCTTCTTGTACACCATCAGAATTTCCACCGTCACTACCAATAGATGCCATCAATTCAGCAGTAACTTCTTCAATTGACGCAAAATGCCTCGCACCATTCATATCAGTAACCTTCTCCCAGTTGTCTCTCACATCTTCAATGCTCACACCATCAGAGACCTTCTTACGCAGATTTTTGCCGTTTGCGCGAATGACATGGCATTTTCCAGCCCAGCCAGCTGCCGATTCAATAATGGAACCTGACTCAGTGCAACTTTCATGGCAAAGATACGCCACAACCGGCGCAATTAGTTCCGGTTTCAATTCGTTGAATACATCCGGTGGGAGGATGTCTTCAGTGAGACGTGATGCAGCAGTTGGGACAATGACGTTGCTGGTGATGTTGTATTTCTTGCCTTCGATGGCAATCGTGCTGGATAGGCCCAGAGTACCGGTTTTAGCGGCAGCGTAGTTAGCTTGGCCAAAATTACCTGTAAAATATTAAATTTAATTAAATTAATAGCAACTTTATTAGTATATTGAGTTGTTTTACCGTAAAGTCCGGAATTTGAAGCTGTGAAAATCAATCTGCCATATTTCTGCTGTTTAAAAAGAGGGAACGCTGCTTGTGCGGTCTTGAAACCACCCTTAAGATGAACATCTTGAATAATATCTGTAAATAAACGTAATATTCCAATTAAAATACGTGAAAATTGCTAAAAATTTTATGATTTACCCCAGTCACCAATGGCAATTCTTGGGAAACTCTTATCCCTCAAGATACCAGCGTTGTTCACGACGATATCAACACGACCAAACGCGTCCAACGCAGTTTTGATGATTTTATCACCCTCAACAACTGAATTGTAGTCAGCAACAGCTTGACCACCTAGAAAACAACAAAAAAACAATCAATACATATTAATACATTAATCTATTACATATTTAAAGAATAATCCTTACCCATTCTTTTAATTTCAGCCACAACATCATCTGCAGCTTTGGATGACTTGCCATCACCATGTCGACCACCTCCCAGGTCATTAACAACCACCTTTGCTCCTCTGGACCCAAATAAAAGGGCATAGGCACGTCCAAGACCAGCACCAGCACCGGTAACCACCGCAACTCTTCCGTCGTATCGTAATTCGCTCATGATTGCTGTGGAATTAAAATTCTGCACTGTAATTGCCTCAATTCCAACTGGAGTGATCTTTGCCCCCAGGCCGCGTTGTCGTTTTATCGCCGGGTCGCACCGAACTGAACCAAAGCAAACTGAGCATTAAATAAATGTGAAAGTTGTGTGCAGTGTAGTAAGTTGTTGAAGTGGGAAACGACGAACATCAGTGAGTAGCACTGACTTGGCGATAAAACGACCAATATGATTGAGGAAAACAAGTAGGAATATTGTAATTGCTACAATTTCTTACTTACTCTACTTGTGTCGCGTTGAGTGTGCACACCAAACTGGAATATTTATCTATTTATATGTTGTTAATCACATACAACGCAGAGAAGTTAGATAACAGCTACATATAAATTATGTTTGTTTGAAATTAAAAAAAACATCTGATTGTCGCAAAGTTCAACAGATGATTTGAGGACCGTAAGGTGCTGCCCTCTCGCAAATAACATCAGAACTAGAAGAAAATAGATTTCAAAAATTTGATAAAAGTTTTAAAATTTAAAGATTTTACAGTATAAGTATGCGTTGTAAAATAAATAATTATTATAGACATTAGAACATCGGGTAGAAGACAATAGAAATGTGTTGAAAATGTGTCAAACATTAGTTTCAAACGATTTTAATCAACGTGAACATAAATAAAACACAACAAGATATTAATATTAAGAATATAAGAACTGATCATAGAATCATACAGGACAAATAACATTCCAATAGGATTTGATAAGATTTTTATTCTGTGAGAAGTTATTAACTAAAGGTAACTTTATTAATCTTTTATAACTATAAAACGGTTGGTAGCCCTGCTAGCTAAGAATGGCCGCGTCATTTGAAAGGTTTTTCCTGCTAACATAATATTCCAAAAGAAATAAACACAGATTAATAACAACATCATTTTTAACATGTGAAAATAATCATATATTAGTAATAAAAGCCATTAGTGTTTAATCTGAAGCAAAGATGAGTAACTAATGCGCTGTTCGTGTTCGCGCAACGCAGGAAATGCACGCCCCACTCTCTCGCGCACCGCTAAATCTGTTTTTTCAACTGAGCACGTGTTCGCGGCGGCGAGAAGTGCATTTTACAACAAATTTACATACGCGCTAGGCAAGCGAGACCCGGTAGACAGCTGTACGCTCGCAAAGCAAACGCATCGCAATCAACGCGCTCTCACCCACCGCCAGAAACCAAAATCTAGTCATTGGACACAAGAGCAATCGCTGTTGTACTTGCACTTGAAAATTGTGGTGAGTGAAAATTGAATTTTCTAAATTGCTGCGCAAGGAGTTTTGTGCTTGGGGCAGGCGGTGTGCGGCAGGAACGTGGGCACTGCGCACTTGTAACTTCGTGGGTGCGGTTTTATTTCGTTTTTAATCATTTCTTTACACTTCGCCACGTGTTTCACATTTTAAAATATTTCCTTCTTTTAACACGCAAAGGTTAGTGAATTTAAATTTTATTAAACATTAGAAAGTATTTGTTTAAATATAAATAGAATTTTCGAAGGCAAATCGTATTAAAATGAAAGGTGACTTAGAAATTCCAGAATATTTCGTTTGTACCGCGTGGATATTCATGTTTTTCGTAATTTTTTTTGTGTCAAACTTAAATCAATCATTTTTTAAATCTTATTTAACAATTAAATCATAATCCGAAAATAATCGTCTCAAGCACACCTTTGTGTATCGTTCAATCACCTGAATTGACATAAAATAAAAGTTTATCATTCGGTACGACTGTAAATTCGCATGCCTGGTATTTGTGTTAAGCGATACCTCTGATTAAGTTACATAAACAACTGATAACGTTTATCAATGTCCATGCATTTAATTAATTTGGTGTTTTGTTCACGCGCAGATACTCACTTAGATAGAGAAGAAGACACCTAGTGAAAGATGGTGCAGAATGACGACAAGTCCGGTTCGGACACCGAAATGCCTTTGACTCCCCCCGCGGTGGAATTCCAGAATTTGGCGAAGGGAATTGATGAGGGCAGCTACAAGTTGATCGGCTGGGCGGCCGACACTACCGGCCGGCGTCTAATTGATGAAATCTGCCAGATCGCCGCTTATACACCCGATAGTCAATTCTCGCAGTACATTATGCCCTTTGGTGATATTAGATTACTATACAGGTGAGAAATTTAGAATAAAATGGTGTTGTGTAGATATGCAACCAAATATACTTATTTTATGCATTTTTGTATTTAGGCGCCGCCATAACATTCGCATCATGAGCGTTGGCAAATACCGCATGTTGAAAGACCTGCGCACAAATAAGTTCGTCAATACCAAGAGCGAGGTGACTACCCTAGCGAAATTTATCGAATGGTTGGAGGAGAACCGCGGCGAGGCTACCGATGGCATCATTCTTGTCTATCACGAAGTGCATAAGACAATCCCGGCCATGTTGTTGGAATCAATGCGTCGTCATGGCTTGGACGAACGTTTCGCTAAGGTGGTTAAAGGATTTGCCAACAGTTATGGTTTATCTGCATCCAAATGCGCCAATACCACCAAAACATTCACTCTGCGCGTTATGTCAAAGGTAACTTACTGAAATTTACTGCAGACAACCCACGTAGCATATTTTTTTTCGCTCAGGTGTTGCGAGTAGCTTTTAATTGTTTGTTATTGCGATTGATTTGCGAAGTATTTAAAGCTGTGACGCAATTGCAATGTTTGAAACAAAACTCGCGTGAGATATTATATCGAATGTTGTGTGTAATGAGTGTACGGGTATTTTTAGGTGTTGCTGAACAAGGAAAATAATCTCAGCTCGGCGGTGGCGCGCGCGCAGGCGTCTTATAATGTTGCGATGCATCTCGGGCAGAGCGAGCGCAATGATTTGGATGCGAAGGGCAGCGGCGATGCGAAAATCAACAACGAGTTGCTGATCAATATGATTCGTCCATTCACCAATCCTATTTCAGCGGAAGAGGATGAAATTAAACAATTTAAAGTATTAACGTTAATATTTTGTTTGTGTAAACATTATAATCTTATTTATATTTGTGTTTAGGTGTTGTTAGACCGTCAGAATACCTTCAAGCCTGTATTTGGTGCTTTGATGAAGGGTACACCTCCGGAACGTCAACACGCTAGTCATCTTCGTCGTATGTTGGCTGAGAACTGTGTGGATTTCGAAATTTGCAAGTCTGCTTACGAGAAAAGTACCAGAGATGGATTAAACAACATTTTAATCACTCAGGTAATTAATATTTATTTATTTCTATTAAGTTTTGTAATAATTTTGTTTGTGAATAGGTCCAAAACTTAAAAGATGAAGAAAAAGAAGAATTGCTCGAAATCCTCGACTGTTACTTCGACCCGGAGAAGAAAGCAGTTCAACCAAAACCTAAATTTTTCCAGAACCACAAAAATCGCCGCTATCGCACCAAGAGCGGCAGCAAGGATAAAAACGCGAACCGCATTGAAGGTAAATCCCATGAAGGTAAAAAATCTTCTGATGAGGAGAACACTTCTTCCGCAGCCGAAGGCGACGAGAAACACGACAAGTCCGAAAAGGTCGACAAGAAAATTAAAATCAAGGTGGAGGACGAAGAGTCCTGCCCCATGCCCGAGGGAGTCTCGGTCCCCAAGGCGACGATCACGGCTTGAATTAACCACAACATGTTAATCAATGTCAGCGGCACCGAAACATCAACGCCATTTTGATTATTGGATTATGCATCCAATTGCCGTTGATGTCTAGGTGTCTGCTGGGTTTGGAGTCTCAGAGAATTTATTGTTACGTTATTTGCTGATTTCTTTCTGCGAAGAGTTTTATTTCAGTTTATCTTTTGAATGCTTTTTTATACTTGTTAACGTGCGAAAGCGTTTCTTATTTATCGGCAGTTTCCGCCTGCAGGAAGGTGCCGAGACGTTGATGAGAGAGATAGGGCGGTCATTTTGTTGCGCGCTCGCGTGCATATTGCGAAAATTTGTATGTGTTGACATTATTCTAGAAGTAAATTTTTCGTTTTTATTATTATTTAAGATTTTTATTTCATTTCTTACTTAAGATGATGAGTTGAATGTGCAACGTGATAATAAAATGTATTTAAGTTGTGATTCTAATATTAAAAACTTATGAAAGTTGTTATGAAGTATAATAAAATGTTTATTGATGCTAAAAGTTGAAAGGTTTTCGCTGAATATACTTAATACCATTGGGATTTTTTTGATATGATTTGTAAAATAGTTCTTTTTTCTATTGGTTACTTTGTTTAGATTCGCTTTGGTTTTTTGGTGAGAAACAAACTAAGTTGAACAGTTGTACCACTACACAATTTACCTAAAATGTGTCGAATCTTCCCCTCTAATGTCAAAAATATGTTTTTGAATAATTCGCTCGTTTCTTATTAAATAAATGTGAGTGCAAACTAAAATAAACGCTTACCTAGTGTCACTACACGTCACATTTTAGTGTTTAAACAATGAGGAAAGTAATTTCTCATATTGTAAATACTTAAAGATAAGAACAGCTCAAGGTTTTACAAACTAATTTACCATCTATGTTGTTAGTTTTGCGTTTGCTGTGGAATATTTACTTAGTACGTTTGTAACGTGTTATTTTCTATTTTCTAGCAACTGGCCCATTAGCTCAGTTGGTTAGAGCGTCGTGCTAATAACGCGAAGGTCGCGGGTTCGATCCCCTCATGGGCCAAATGTTTTGTTTTGGTTTGGATGTCAAAGTTTCTCCGCATTTCACTAATTTAGTAACTTCCGCTGCACTGCGTTCGTCAAATTGTCACAATTGTCTCAAGCAGTAGCGTCACTCTCTAACGGTCACTTCGCGTCGCGTTTTTCCGCTGTAGTGGTTAGACAATAATTGCAATTTTTCAGAATCTAGAATTAATGTGACTGAAAAGTGAATATCAATATAAACTGTCAATAGTGTAGTTCCTGATCCATATCATGCTGCTATTGTATCAGGTGAGTTCCATTTTGTATATTATTTGTATTTTTCAATGCGTGTTGATATATTTGCACGATATATTTGTTTGGATATTGTATGCGCAGAAATCAACTATCGTTATATGTTAAATTGACAAATCATTCATTATCTAAAATCGCATTACATTAAAAACTTGTTAAATGTTCTTTAGTACTTATTAATGTACATAACAATACATTTCAACAAGTTTTACATTGATTATTCTTCAGCGAATAATACTCGTGAATATTAGCATTAGTTCTGTTTTATAGAATATTGAGTTCTGTAAAATAGTTCTACTATTCCAGGTATTGGAATAAGTATAGTAGAATACGTTAAAACTGGTTCTCTTATCACCAGTATGTTGATTCTTCAAAATATTTACTTTCAAGTTATTGGTGTGAGGTTTTTAACGTTGGGACATAAAAAGTTGCCTATGTTAACAACAGTATTACACAATAACACGTACAGATGTCGCCCTCGTGCAGTTTCCCCTTTATTTCTGACGTTTGAAATATTCACGCCGCATTCCAACCGAATTTGAAGCCCGTCGAGCGTTCCAACCGCGCGCGCGAAGCGCCATAAAACATTTTTAATTGCATTTTAATTGGCATCGTAATTGTTAATGTTCTTCGATGTTTACAATTGTAACGCCTGTTATGCGTAACGATTTCGCATATTATCCAGGCGATTTGTTTGATTTTGCATATCGCAAGTCGCCTATCGCCTGCACAAACACTCATTATCAGCAACCAGCAAGAACATGCAACATGATCACACTCATTTCTACGCACAGAAATGTTCAACTCGCGAAACAAATGAAGAAATTACTTCGGATAGTTACCAGTTGAATTAAATTTCACTCAGGGTGTGGTGGTGAAGTGTTTTTTGGTGTACGCGTTGAAAAAATCGAAAATAAAGTCTCATGCGACAAAACGGACAAAACTAGAAATAATGACTGGCGAAGCCGACGAAATTATTAACTAATCAGCGCTGGTGATGGTGCTGATTCGTACGCGAGCTTGTGCTGCATTTTAATTTATAATACGCTAATAAGTCAGCGGCAATTATAAACGGTTTATCCACTTTTCCGCCGTGTGGAAAATCGGTCTTGGGATGAAATTCGAGATTCGCATAAAAACAGAACTAATTATTTCTACATTTTCAAACAGCGCACAAAATTTTCCACTAATTTCTGATTTTTAAAAGTTTTTGCTTTAAAATTTTATCAATTCATTTGTATCATTGTCTTATCCACATACACCCAATCTAAAACCAAAGATCTTGACATAGATCGACAGTCACCAGTAGATTCTGGTAGTGTGTATACTCACCGCGTACCGGAAGCAGCTGCCCGCGAGTGTTTCGTGTTGTCCCGGCCATCCTGTTCGCCATGTTGCACGCTGCAAGCACAACTACAAGCAGAACGAAACATACACTTACATTCGTGCTGCTTCATGGTACAAACCCTCCATAACACATTTTAGTTTATATATGCACGTATGCATTAAAAATGTGAAAAACGAAGAAAAAAAGAATCGGTAGTGTTTAGGGTCATTGCAAACCGGAAGTAGATGGCTCCACAGTTTTAACCACCCTGAATATAGTCCTCAAGACTTCATATCTGAAACAGGTGTGCGTTACAAATAAAAATTTAAAAAAATAGTGGTTTAATTTATGACAACTCATTTTATCGGATAAAAATGACTATATCTGGTGATATTGCAACTAAAACGAAAAGATTTTGCCGAGGGAATTAAAATTGAAGGTTTTTTGATTAAAAAATGTTTAAAAAAGTAAAAGAATCTGCTGTTGGCGCTGACAGATGTTAAATGATATTTGTTCAAAGTGCAGATTTCTTTTTTCTGTAAATAAAAATAATTTTAATGGTTAATTAACACATTTGCAATAAATTTTTTCAGTTATTATTGGTTGAATCTTTAGCAAGTACAAATTTAATAATCTTTAATGAAGTTTAATGTCTCGCATTGCGCATTTGCACATTCGATCGATCTTTAATTGGCAATCGCAATCACAATTACACAAATTGCTAGGTTATAGCCGCCAATATTGCTTCGCAAGACGCGATTTTTTGCGCTGTTTGTTTTTATTTCACTCTGCAGCGACTTGTTTATTCGATTGCTGGCTGACTACCAGCATGCAACCAGCTTGTACAAATCGTGGATAATCTCTAATTAAATTTCGAGAAAATATGGGTCGTATTTCAGTTCGGTTTCAATTACGCAGGTGGATTAATTAGGCTAATTATGCCGCCGACGCATGAATTTATAATTGACACATAAGTTAACCAACGACCAGAAATCGACTCAGAAATTTAATTCATAAGATTACTTAGTACCTACAATTCGCAAATTAACAGGATTTATACTTACTTACCTACTTGTCTTCGTATAATATTTAAATATTAAAGGGTTTCATGTTTGCAAATCGGATAAAGTCGAATGTCGATGATGAATAGGAATAAAATCACCCAATTCTCACTCGCGCATATTTTGATGTAGATACGTGGTAGCGTTGTAAGTCATGTGTGCGCTGAGAATGTGAGAATGATGAGAAAATCGCGCCGAGATTGAATAGAAGAATAAGCGAATAAAAGTGAATATATCGCGTTTGTTGTGCGTGCCGTGTGTGTGTGTTCAAGTGCGCGCGCGTGGTAGAATACAGGAGCCGCTTTCCAGGCTTCAAAAAGTTGCACAATTAATAAGCGAACGCGCGAATATACGCTAATTAATTAACCTTCCATTGCTGGTTGGTGCCATGACGCTTCATGCGTTCATTCAGTCGTTTCATTCATCCGAAACAAGAGAAATGCGCACGAGCGCGAGCGTAAAACTGGGAGTATAAGTAGGTAAATCTATCCTTTTGTAGAAAGTTGTTTGGAACTTTTGGCTGGCAAAAAACTATGTTTTTGTGGAGTAATTTCAAGGTTAACAAAAATAGACTAATAGTGGGCAGCTAGGACCTACTACTGGATAAGTTATACCAAAGAGATTTTTTATTTTCAAAAATTTTGAGGAAAAAACGCAGAATTTGGCTACATAAAAAAATTTTACAAGAGTATATGAGCATATTGCCAAAAATATATTTATAACCTTACATTTTGTAGTAGTGTGCGAGCCAATTTCGATGATATAAAATAAAAAAGTTGAAATACAAAAACCTAAACGTGGAACTAGAGTAGAAGTTGAAAAAATAGCTAAGCATCATGTGGCTAAACGTTCTTAAACACTTGATTGCTTAAACGCTCGCACTCAATCAATCTCGTGAGTAAAGTTCCCGTTTAGCCACTTGATAGTTAATACCTATACTATTTTAAACACCCAAACTCGTCAAACCACCTTTTTTGAGAAATTTTGAAGAAATATAAATAAAAATAACAGATTATTTAAATAAATATAAACTTTTTAAATATATTTCGGGTATAGATATATTTTTCATTTAGAAATGTCCAAAAAACTCAAAAAAATTGCACAAAACTGAAATACATCAAAAATATTAATTTACACAAGTTTTTACACTATTTTAACACAATTTGAACTTTTTTGTTTTCTAAAAATACAAATTGTGCTAAACTTATACGGTTCGGACACTCGTCGCTGTAGATTTTCCATTCGCCTGCGGTTTTGGATTTTGGATGCTGGAGACGTGCGGTTGTTGTGTGCGTTGCGTGCGGCCACAAACCGCGATGGTGCACATGCCACTTGCCTGTTATTTTATCCCTCACCAGCTCGCAGCCTAACACCAGTCAACGGCATCGTGCAAATCTTCCACACTTTTCGAAAATGTATCATCACACAACTTTTACAACCTATTTCCATGCTTTTAAATCAAAATCAAAATTATTGCAACTTTCAAAAACATTCAAAACCAAAAAAAAAAGTTTGATTTCTTGACTGAACTATTTATCACAGTTGGTAGCATTGTATAATTCCTGCAATACATATTTCAAAATTTATACGTTTGTAGTCTTCACACAAGGCAGTATATTCACCAGCAAGTAAATATAACTCATATTCCTGCCACACTCTGCGGTGTGGTGTGCATTCTGAAATCTACCTATATTCTATTTCTACCTATATTCATATACACACATATATATATATCTCGACGATTTTCTCCACTCGCGAGCCGACTACACTCAGATGCATACTACGAGTGGCTGAGATCATGAGTGCGAG